TCCCCCCGCCCCCCCCCCCCCCCCCCCCAAAAGAAGAAACAAAATTTGTAAGAATTGACTTTTACTTTTCCATACTTCATATAGTTATTTATTCCTTAATATTTTCCTTTCATCACATGCTAATCAGGATTCTTTTTTGAAGTTGATACGAGTTGTGAGGTTTCAAAATCAGAGCTGTCTTTTTTTCTGGGAAGCAGATGTCTACCTAGAAAGTAAAATATAACATTGAGCTGAACAAGATAGCAAGAAACTAAGAAATTACCTCAGCAGGGTTGTATAGAGAGTGAGACTGAATTTGTGGATATTTAGTTATCTCAAGTCCGTTTTACATTTATTGTTGGTTCAGAGATTGTAAGTTTTAATTGCAGCTTTAATTAAGTTGGTGCTTTGTGACTTTTTATCGATAATCTTAGACAGAAAAGCTGATCATTACAGATGAGTATGACTTAAACTATTTCTTCTTTTGTTACCCCTTGAGCTGGTCTTTTAAAAAAATAAATTTCGTTAGATTCTGATAGGCAAATATTCTTATTTCCCATTTCTCAGTTAATGGTGAGTCATCCTCCTCGGCACCAGAAGCTGGTAGTTCTTCTGTCTCTGAGCCCCTGGTAGGTTCTGTAGAAGCTCCCACGTCTGCAGATTGCACTAACACTACAGCAGAACCTCAGCCAACAACAGAAGCAACTGGTTGTTCTGAAAGCCACGCTTCTACGTTACCTGTTGTGTCTGCTGGACTTGAAGCTGCAACTACAACAGACTGTGCTCCACCTAATTCCAGAAGCAGTACGGCAGCAGACACAGCAAAACCAAGAGAATCCTCCTCAAGTACATCTGGAGAACCTGTAAGACAGCAGCCTGGTAATGCCAGTACAGAACCTTTGCCACCAGGGTATGTGGGCTTGGTTTTAATGCTATAATCGAGTTTTTTGGTCTGAATGTGTGTGCAAGAAATTTTATTTCTTGCTTGGATTGCCAGCTACAGGTTAGTTAGCTGAGGCATGATTATTTACTCTAAAATAGTTGTTACTGTGCTAGTCTGACTGCCTCGTAGCTCTTGTCCTGGGAACTAACAATTGAGTACTGCTTTACTGAGACAGTAATGCGATTTAATAGAGGGTATTCTGGATGTCAAGATTGCCATTTGATGTATTCAACTTATTTCATGCTTGGGTCATAACTCATTGTTCCTTTGTTTTTTTTTTTTTTTTTTTTAACTCTAAGAATGTAGTAAGGATCAACATATAGAGAAGGGAAAATGAGGAAAACAGCCTGAAAGTACTTGTGGGTGCTGACAGTTGTAACAATACATCCAATAATGTTATAAATAAAAATATAGGTTTGAAGCATACGTGCTTGCAAAGAATAGCTAGAAGCTAATTCCACCAGTCTTTGAAACTACTGCTGTTGTCCCAAGTCTTAAAGACAAAAGTAAAGATGTGCTGAGACACAACAGATAAAAATATCTTTGGCAGACAAAATGTTGTTCTGTCTACGTTTTCAGGAGCTATATAATTATGAATGTAAGAAAAGCAAACGTATGTCAAATGCAAGCAAGACCTTGTGCTCTTCACCCAAGGTTTCTTCTAGTTTCATCTCCCATATATAAATACCATTTGTTGTATTATGGCAGTCTTCAGCACTGTGAAACCAGAATTATTTATAATGTTTGGTCCTCTGTCCATCTTCATTGTAAGAGTTTTGCAAATAAATTTAAAGAAATAATCCCCAGGGATTTCAGATAGAGGCAGGAAATAGAAACACAAGGCAATTATCTGTTAGCACACGTTCAGGTTCGCTCTGAAAGATCCTATTGTTTGCTGGAGATAGGAGACAGTGCTTCAAAATGTAAATTCCTATTTTGAGAAGTATATCTTTGGAAAGGCAAAGAATGTGTTTTGCAAAAGGGATGGAATCTCTAAACACTCTTCAAATGAGGTTCTTTCACCATCCGAACCTTGAACAGATACCTACTTGCTTTTATTTTCACATATTTTAAATAGAATTTGAAAATGCTTATGAATATTTACGTATGTTCATTTTATGTACCAAATCCTTTAAAGAAGTCTTTATGGTGATATCTGTTCAAGCAGGAAGTAAGTGATGTGTATTCCAGGGTAAGTTGTCTTTGGCCTTTTAGAATGAGGTCTGGGTGCTAATACTCCTATTCAATAGCAAGATGCTTTTTTGGCTTAGTGAGAGCTAAGTCCTAGGGAAGCATATTCACTTGACTTTTATATAAAAGTCTTTTTGTCTTAAAGATGGGAGCAAAGAAAGGATCCTCATGGTAGAACCTATTATGTTGATCACAACACACGAACTACTACATGGGAAAGACCACAGCCCTTACCTCCAGGGTAATGTAGACTTTCTTTAAGTATTACCTTAGTACTATTTTTTTTATTTTTGTTTGGTACAAAAAAGTACAATGTTGACTTTTAATAAGCAGTTAGTAAAAACTACATCATGCATCATATGTCAAGGAATCATAACTTTCAGTTAATTTAGAATTATATTAATTGCAGATGTTTTCATAAGAATGTTGTTGTTATATGTTTGTTTTGATCGCTAAGCATTAAATAATACACATTTTAACACCTGTTTTAGGTGACACCATTAGGTGTAGTGCATTGGTTCCCAACCTATGGTTCCTAGGCAAAGTGTTTTCTGTGAAACCTCCAAACATTGCTCCTGGCCACAGGGAGTTCAAGATAAAACTGAGGTGACAGAGCAGACCATGCTGTTGCCTGTGGTCTGTTATTTGCTCGGTATGGTTGTCTTTGTACCATAAAGTTGGGGAGACCAGTGATATTTTGTATACTTTAGAAGTTAAAATCATGCCTGTGACTACCAGTACTTGATTGAAATAATGTGTAGGAATTTAACACGAAGAGAACGTGAGTTTTGTAGTGTTACTGAAAAATATATAGCTGTTAACGTTTGTATTTCTTGTAGCTGGGAAAGAAGAGTTGATGATCGTGGAAGAGTTTACTATGTGGATCATAATACCAGAACAACAACATGGCAGCGACCAACAATGGAATCAGTCAGGAACTTTGAGCAGTGGCAATCTCAACGCAATCAACTGCAGGGAGCTATGCAACAATTTAACCAACGATACCTCTACTCGGTAACTTTTAAATAATATGTAGAAGTTAGTTAGAGGTACAATTTTTTTGTTGAACTTTTTCTGAAGTGATTTTATAACGGTTCAACTGTATGTGTTATAAGAAGTATGATATCAGTAATTTAAATTCTGGTTCTGTTGAAAAGTGAAATCATCTTCGAAGTAAAAAGAACAAACCTATTCCCTTCTGAGTCTGTTTCTTAACTTGAGCATTGAGGATTGCATGGTGCTTAAGACTTTTAAACTGGAATAGTAACAGGTAAATCTAAAGTACTTCTTTAAGTGAGAAGGAACTTAAATGGTGGTTTATGGGCATTTTGAGGTCTAAATGGCACTCAGCTCTTTTTTACTGATTCAGAATCTTTCATCAGTAAAGGTTTTTTTTTTTTAGCTTTGGTGCTCATTTGGAAGCCTATGCACCTGTTCAGCTCTGCAGTTTCCTGCATGGTTTTCCATTTTTCTCACGTGGTTGATCACTCCTTAAGCTTTATAGGAAGAAGAAAATTGAGTACCTTGAGACAGATAGAAAAATGCAATTGCATAAATAGGATAATTCATTTTTTAAGAGTTAAGAATGGTGATGCCTGCAAGTCACTGTCTCTAAACATTTAATTTTAAGAGTTGTATTCAATCACTTAACAAAAGATCTAGTCCTAGATTTTCATAAGTGATGCAAAGCAAAGCTGGAGCGTTTTAGAGAAGAAACCATTAAGTAGAAATCTGAAGCAACTTCATGTAATTGCTGGACTAGAACTCTATCCATCTGCAGACTTAACTTTGCTTTGAATTTAATGGGACTGTTTTATTCAGGTACCCCCTTTGAAGTAAAGGATGTTACTGTGTTTTTACATTTAAGATTTCACCCTTTGCTTATCTAATTAGGCATTACATATCATCACCAGTAGTTGGAGAGATGTTTATCAACACTGAATTTCTTTAATGCTGGAGCTATGTATCAAAGTCTGCTTAAACAACTAGAGAAAGAAGTAGGGATCACAAACCATTCTTCTTAACTGTAGGACAGCTTTGTAGCTAGACTGGATTTATTCATTTGTCTTATACACGTATTGAAATTTGTCTGAATTCTCAACTTAAATGTAGTGCCGTTTGTTCAGGTTCTCTGTCTTCCGTGCTTTGTGCCAGTACTGTAATCCAGTCAGAACTGATGCCTCCTGAGATATTGCCTAAAGCATAGGTATAGTCTCAGCAAGTCATTGAGATAAGTTGCTTTAATGCAATATAAACAGCGAAGTGATAACTGCCATTTAAATAGGGATGAGTTGAGATGCGTTAATAGTGAATGCATTCTTAGTACAAAAGAATGGAAAGATATTGATTCTTGCTAAAGAAATGTAAGCAAACCTCCCATTATTGGCTTATGTAAATCCTTAAAAGAAATTTTAAGGTTCTAATGCTAATCTAAGAATTACAGCTGAGACACAGTCACAAACTCCCACTGAATGACTTTCTGTACTTGTGTGCTACCTTGATCCATTAAAAGATCTAAGAAAACCCTTACTTGTCCTGAACCTAAGAATTTTTTTGAGCTAGACTTGTTCTTTTCTGGAAAATTTTATATTTATATATATAAATATACAATACATACATACATACATATATATATATAAATTCAGATGATGATCCTTTTTTTTTTAATGATAACTTTTACTTAAAACCATACTGATTTATTTCTTAAAAGTGCTCCTTCTGCCCTTAGAATCATGAAGTTAGAATTTGTTTGTTGGACAGAACATACTTGAAGGAGGGAGAAGTTTTTGACTTACGTGCTGCCATATGCTTTTCTTCTAAAATTGTTACAGTCAATCTGCAGATAAGTTCTTCCTCTGGGGTTGCTCCAGGACTCTGCTATATAGTGATTTATAAGTGAGATTGTAATGTATTTTGTTAGGAAACAGTGAATTAATGTTCTTACTTATTGAGAGAATGTTTCAACTACGTTGAATGGTCAAAGCTCAACTATATTAGCGAAAAAAGTGGATAGGATATACTTATTTTAGTTATTCTGTCTTTTCTGTTGTGTGCTCTTGGAGGAATTGAGGATTTTAATTATCTTATAATTTATTTGCATTTCTTTCTAGCTTCTTCAGTCCCTTTTATGATGTTATCATAAGAGTAGCTAATCCTTTTTATTCCTTTTAATGAGAATATTGAAGGTACTAGTGATCATAATAACTACTTAGAGACTCTAGCGTGTTCTTGAACCAGCTCCCTTTGTTACTTACACCTTATTGTAGACTAATTTTTGTATTTAGATATTGCAGAATATTTAATGAGAGGAATTGTTTCAGATTTCAAGTTAGTTTATCTCTTAATTGGCATATAACTAGTTATGATATAAATAGCTAAAGTTACTGATTTTTAATAAATTTAATGTCCTTCAACTATGTGCATTCAAATAAATTAAAAAAAAAAAAAAAAGGAAGAAAAGCCTATATATAGGAGGGGGAAATACTTGCATGATAAAAGTAATATTCATCCAGAACAGATATTAAAACTAAGCCCCGTAATGTAGAAAGACTAAGTTAACTTTCTTTAAATATTACTATCCTCTTTATAAAATATGTAAGAAATAGTGAATATGTTAAAAAATACTCAAACATTATGATTTATTTATCAAAGTTTACTGATGGTTGGAAGAAGTAGTAATGGCTAGATAGAACAACCTTGTTCATCGTGCAGATGGTTACTTCACATCATTTTTGAAAGCTCAGAACTTGCAGATATGTAGAAATATCTTTGAAAGTCATCTTCAAAGGGTGGACCATTGTTACTAATTAAGAAAAAAGACATTGCACATTTAGTGTTTTAACATCTTAATTTCCTTATGCAGTATACGCATCCTGCACAATGCGGTGTCATGTAGGCATATCTGAATTAGCTGTGCAAGATGTGAGGTACCAGAAACAGTGTGATTATATTGATGAATGCTTTACCTGAGTTAATATAATGTATAGCTTTTGCTTTGAATCTGGTTCATCCGATGCCACTGCCTAGCATTTCATTGTGCTCTATTAAATATATATTAAGCAGCAAATACACACAATTCTTTGAACCAACTAAGATGATCAGAAATGTCTGAATCATGCCACCATTCAATTCTTAGATAGATGGCCTTTTTTCTTAAGGACTATTCTTTTTATCCTCACCACAGAGAAGTCTTTGGCTAGGTCACTGTAACTGTATAGTTTCTAAAAGCAGGAAAAGCTAACCTCATTTGCTGCTGAAATAATAATAATTCTCTGCTCACACACAATTAATAGCTGGTGGATAGAGGAAAAAACAATTAGATTCATCTTGGATTTAACCACTGCATTTCCTTCTGATCCTTGTTCTAGTATTGTTTCAGAGGAAAATAGGGAAAATATGGTAGCTTTTCTTGCCTGAATAAACTCTAAGTGGATTTGGGATCTTTGGATTACAAGTATTGCCTAAAGCCAAAGCAGTATTAGTAGTAAAGTGATCCTTAAAATAAACTTTGGAAAATGTAAATTGTTTTCCAGTTACCAAAATTTCATTCTACATTTAAAAAAAAAAAAAAAAAACCAAAACCCAAGACCATGTGACTGGATACATGAATTCCAATGCCTAAAAAGTGTGGGGATGTTCTTAATTAGAGCATGGATCCTGCAGTCTGGGGGTTTTCTGCCTTTTATATTCTCTTTATCCTATGTTCTGTATTTTTGGGAGCTAATGGGGGACTTCTGCAAGGTTACAGTATAATACTAATATAATACATGCTAAGGTTTAGCATGGTTCATAATAATTTAAGCTTTTTAAAAATAGCCAAACACTGAGGAGAAGACATGTGCTTTATTCAGAGGAAGTTAAGGCAACCTATGTTGGTGATTGATAGTCATTGTGCTTCCACGCTTACTTTGAAATGTATTTATTAGTGGTTAAGCACATTTTTACTTCAGTTGAAGTTTGGACTATCTTCAGAGTGAAGAATTCATGCAAATAAGAAACCTTGACTAGGGAGTAAATTTTCTGGAATGTGCTATGATATAAATGGCAACAAACTTCTTATTCTGGTTTCTTGTAACATCTCTTTCCTGTTGTCTTTTGTAAGACTTTAAGATCATGCTTAAGAACAAGCGTATTGTTGAATCAAACAAGAACAAGAACATTGTGTTTATCTGCTGATACGTGTTTCCACAAAACTTTTATGAACTTTACATCTTTGGGACTACTGACTGTCTATCAAGTTTGCTATAGGAGGGGAAAGGAGGGGGCGTGAGGTTGGAAATAGTTGGCGCAAGTGTACACGTCATGACTCTTTATCATCTCCTATCATATAATCTATGCTTCTCTGTGAAAACAGACTAAAAACGGCATGATGTTTTTTTAGAATGGATAGCCTTCAGAACTAGTGCTAATTTTAAAATACATCAAGGAAAAGAGATATGAACACTCTTTGGTCTAACTGAGTGTCATTTTGTTTATAAATAGGCTTCAATGTTGTCAGCAGAAAATGATCCACTTGGGCCTTTACCACCAGGTTGGGGTAAGTTAATCAGCTGTTGATTTCAGGAGGAGGCAGTTACAGAAATTTGGAATGCAATTGTTGTATAGTTTTGTTTTTTGCTTTTTTCCCCTAGAAAGGAGAGTGGATTCAAATGATAGGGTGTACTTTGTAAATCATAACACAAAGACAACACAGTGGGAAGACCCCCGAACTCAAGGGTAGGTGTGCATATTGACTGTGCAGATAAAAAGATCTTACTTAATTGTTGTATTAAGTTTCATGATGTGGGGGGAAAAAGTACTATCTGCAATTTCTTCTGCAGTTTACAAAATGAGGACCCTCTTCCAGAGGGCTGGGAAATCAGATACACTAGAGAAGGTGTCAGATACTTTGTTGATCATAATATGAGAACCACCACCTTCAATGATCCTCGTACCGGGAAATCTTCTGTGTAAGTGAGAAATTAATTTTTAAATGGCTTAACTTGTTATATCTTAATTATGAAGTTCTTCTCATACTGGAAAACAATGCTTTATTCTGTGCTTTAGTTGGAATTGACCACAAAATTATGAATTTGTTTTCTATAAATTTAATCTATTTTTAAGATTTAATTATCAATTTCTCTGTGCAGCACTCTGAAGTACTGCTCTAAGATTTAATAGTTTTTATGTAGTGTTCAGATTCCGAAATTGTAAATGCAGGAATTGAGAGGGGAAGTGAAATAAAAATGAATATTCAGCTAGTATAACTGATAGTTAAACTTATAAAGGAAACAATGAATGCTTGTAAAGAGTATTCCTTGTAGTTGCACTGTACAGTAGCATTAAAGCTTAAGCAAAGTAGTTCTGAATACTTTCAAAATTATGTTTGTGAATCTTCTTTTAAATTGTTTTATCAGAAGTATTCACCCAAATGATGGTTGCTCTCTTAACATCTTTTATGTAGGGTAAGATTTATTTCTGATGACATGTTGATGGCCTTTAATTCAAAGAGCTAACAGATTATTGTAGTATAAATTCCTTCCTTGTAGTATAAATTCCTTCCTAGTTCCGCAAACAGCTGAATTTATGAAGCCTTATGTCTTATGTCGATCCTTGTTGACTAATGTGACTAAATTCGTACTGCAGTCTTTCTCAGTGATGCAATAAAATAGATATCCCTCCTTTAGCTAGCTTCTGATTTTCACAAAGTTGATAAGGATTTGAAATCCTCAAGATTTTACCCTTTTCTCAAATATGGTAAATTGGCTAGTGTCTAGAAAAAAAAAAAAAAAAGTGGGGGGAGGAGGGAAAGGTGAGGAAGAGTGGTATAATGAACTATCAATTGTATTTTGTTTCCTTGGAAAGTCATAAAAAATGGGGGCATATATTCGATTTCCATGGGTGCTCGTTTCTTATGAGCAAAATTTTTGTGTTATTGAAATCTACAAGATGTTGTTTAGAGTGGAAAGTACTGTTTACTGTCTGTGTAGTTAATTTGTCTAAAATATATTCCCTTACAGAAATAAAGGGCCACAGATTGCTTATGAACGTAGCTTTCGGTGGAAGCTTGCTCATTTCCGTTACTTGTGTCAGGTACTGAATAAGTACTTTTTATTATTTATTATATTATTATTATTATAAGTCCTTATTATTATTATAAGTACTTTTTATTATTATTTCAATTTATATTTGTATGTACTGCTTGTTAATGTTACTCCTTTATGATTACAGTCCAATGCACTACCAAGCCACGTGAAAATCAATGTATCCAGACAGACTTTGTTTGAGGATTCTTTCCAGCAAGTAAGAGTGCAGTTTTGGTTGCGTTTATCAAGACAAAGCGTAAGAACAAAAATGGCTATACCCAGTTCAGAATAATGGTCCTTCAAGCACAGTAATCCTACTCTAGTATTAGCCAGAGGGGGATTCCTAGAGAATACTATAAGAAAAATTAAAATCCTTGCCGTCTCTGTGTCCAAACCTCTTGGAAGGGATTCGCTAAGCACGAGTAACTGTATGTTATTGAAGAAGTGTATTATTACTGAAAATATATTACATTGATTTTTAGATTGGAGTAAACTACTTTTTGAAGTGTTTTGCTTAAAACAAAAGGCCCTATAATATATCAGATGAAAAACCCTTCCTAGCTTATTTTTTCTTTAAGAGTGGCCAGCAATGGATGCCTTAAGAGGAGTATAATAGGGCAGCCATACACTGTTAACATTCCAGGTATGTTCTCTTACTTGCTAGCAGTCTGCAGTTCAAAGACTTTAAGTCAGAGTTGGTATCCTTTTTGTTCAGTAGTTGCTGATGGCCTGTTTCATGATTTGGTCTAATTGCTTTTTGAATATGTGTACGCTGTTGGCCTGTATGACATTGCTGTATCTAATAAAGTCTGAATTTTAAGTAGGAATTGCATTGAAAGTATATTAATTTATTACAATAATTTTTTTGATAGATTATGGCATTAAAACCCTATGATTTGAGGAGAAGATTATATGTTATTTTCAGAGGAGAAGAAGGATTGGATTATGGTGGCTTGGCAAGGTAAAAGAAAATTTATTTAAAATATTTGTTTATTTATTTAATTGCACTACAACCCTGATTTCTGATGTTGTTCTGTTGGCAAAGAAACAGCTTTTGCAATTTCACTCAGTTAAACTTTCTAGCTGCTTTTAACGTATTAGGTAGGTAGAACTGACAGTAATGGCCATTGTTATGGGTTAACGCTTTGCATTAGTAAGACTAGGTTCTCAGTTGTTCAGTTCTTTGACAAAGATTGATACTTAAACTGAATTTTTAAAATACAGGATAATTGTTCTAAACCGAGTTGTGTTTCAGAAGATTCCTGTCAGAAAGTTCATCTTTTCCAGAGGCAGAGGTTATTGAAAAATAAATGGTTTTTCTTATTTAGAAAAAAGAACAAACCTCAGATTGGGGCTGATATGAACAGAAAGGATATTAACAGAAAGAGCATGCTGCAGGCATGAAGTAACAGCAGATGAGCAGAATACGTAGGCTGGACAGGAGCGTGAAAGAAGCAGAGCACAAGTTTTTCCAAAATTTGAAAAGGAATTCAAAAGAAAAAAATCTGATAACAGGAAAATCATACAAAAAGTGTATTTCATCCATTGTCCATATGGAGAATAGCTGCTGACTGCTGCTGCCAATTACTTAGCTCAAATGTTACTAATAATGAAAGTTTCACTTCTAATGCAGATTCAAGGAGCTAGAAATAGCTATAAGTGATAGAATTTTTCTTTCCTGTTTTTTAATGTAAAGGTGTTTTGCCGTTGTTGTAACTGTGTTAAAATGAAGTTTGATTAAAATATAAATGGAGAAAAAAATATAAATGGAGAAACCTGTGTTGTGGTTGAGTAGTGTCACCATCATGCTGATACTATGCATAAGATGGGAATGAAGAGCTTTCAAGGAGTCTCTTCCAGAGAAACCAAGTATTTCAAAGAAATGACATTAAAAGAATTTAACCAAAGAGTGTTAGTCACAGAATTCAGCAGAATAAATAAATAACAGAAATGTGTATGTAGTATAATTTCATAGCCTTAGGAATAAGTCTTGGCTAAGGTTTTGGAAGTGAAATTGAGAAGCAGCAAGGATCTCATTGTAACTTTAGCTGAGAGCAGTTAAGTGACGCTGAGTAAATGTTCATGTACTGACTTGCTAATGTAATACTGCATTGATACAAATATAGCAAGCTGACTCACCTGACTTCTCCTCCTGTCTCTTAATAGGCTAAACTCAAGTGCTCTGTCCGTTTTGGTACATTGTATTTAGCAGAAACAGTCTGATATTGTATCCTGTGGAGAGTTCTAGCTGTTAAAGTGAAAAATGCATTGCCTCTACAAACTTCTTGTTGATGACCAATTCCTTTGATTCTTCCTTTGATTTCTCTCTTTGACTAAATTTAAATGTGTATTAAATTTAATACTTCTATGCAGAGTTAATAGAATTGTCTCACTATAAAACTTTCATAGAATGCTATACAGTGTTCTAATGCTTATTAAAAGATCCACAAAACCCTATTAGTGTTATGTACCCCCCGCTGGCCCTCTTTGTTTACTTTTTCTACTTGGCCTTTGCTTTGGAAGCATGTCCTCTCTGATCCATCACTTTGGTTCCACAGATCTTTTAGGGGAAACATGACTGTAAACTTCCCTTTTCTATTCCCTGATTTCAGGTAAATGTAAGGGTAGGAAAGATACCTCTTAAATGTGACAGCTAAAGACTGAATAGAATTCTGTACCCTGCTGGTATTGCAGGATATTTTTTTTTTCCATTTTTTTTCTTGTTCTTTTCTTTTCCCTTGGTCTGGCTGTTCAGTTTCAAGCATGTAAGGTCTAACACTAAAACTCCTGAGCATATGTGACTGCATCTGAGGTTTCTAATGTATGCAATACTATAAAGTGACAAGTATTCTAAGAATCAACTATCCCAAGAGTGAAATACCAGACTCTGTTATTTCAGGTCAGCTGAGTTGTGAAAACTATGAAGTAGTGAATAAAATGTATTAGTTAGACCTCTGTATTTTCACATGACTGATGCATGGGAATTTGTTAGACCACAGTAACCCAATGTGTGTTCTGCTCTCAGATTGGGAAAAGAAATAACTGGATTTTTTGTTGTTTGTTTGTGTTCTTTGTTTTTACAGAAGTCTTTTATAATAAGCAATGCCCTTGGAGAAATAAATAGTTTTTAAATAGAGACTTGAATTGTGTGCAGTAAAACAGGCATGATGAGGATAAATACTGTGTACTGGTTGAAGCAAGGACTTTATAGGGAAAAATGTTGTTAATACACAGCAAAAACCTGTGCTGTGAGGGACAAGCTAAAGGTGACAGTCTTAACCACCATTTCTAAACTTTGGAAAATATAAATTTGTAACATTAGCATTTTTAATGATGGAATTTTTTATATTTAGGAAGTATATAATTCCATGTATTAATCTGTAATTATAATACAACACTGTTTATATTATTTTTCTGAGTTTGTGTATGTTTAGATCATTTTGCTAGTTACCTAAGGGGAATGGTGATAAACATCTGTATTTGGTGTTTTTATGTCTATACATGTTTTTTTTCCTTAGAGAATGGTTTTTCTTGCTTTCCCATGAAGTACTGAATCCTATGTACTGCCTATTTGAATATGCTGGCAAGAGCAACTATTGCCTGCAGATAAATCCAGCATCAACAATCAATCCTGATCATCTTTCATATTTCTGTTTCATTGGGCGCTTTATTGCCATGGTAGGTTAGATTTTAAAGGTTTTATTGTTTGCTGTAGCTATAAATTTATTCCTGAGTAGTATTTGTTTTTATTTTTATTTTTTTTTTGGAAAGAGTCTTTTAATCTCTTACTAAATAGAAGATTCAGGTATGTAAGGCTATGGACCTAAAACATTTGTCGACTATTAAGTCTCTTACATACTGAAGCTTTCTGGAACGATGATGAAATCTAATATTAGATTTAATATAACATTATATTGTTATCAATTAAATATGTGTGCTTCATGCAGACTGCTGTTTTCTTCCATGCCTGATTGAGTGTCTGAATACTGATACTCTGAAAAATGTCATTAGTATTTTCCTAAAAAGCCTTCTAAGTTAGTCTTGGTATATACGTTATTGTTATTAGAAAAATTGAGTCAGAAGTGTTTTGCAGAGTACAGTAAGCATTAATTCAAACACATATACTTGGACACAAAGGTCATATACTGAGGAGAGCAGAAGTTGGCAGGGAGCTGATAGCTTCCTGCTTGTCTGCCATCAGATTTTTCTTTAACCAGAAGCTGAACAGGTATGTTGTATCACTACTTGTTCTGGTATCAGTGAGCCAAGTTTCTATAATGGGGTTTTGCTCTATCAGGTTTCTTTTCTTCCATCTATTGATAGAGTCTTCTTTCCCCATAATCATCATGGTGTCTACAGTTAGCCCCCAGAGACATCCCAGAACATGGTGAACAGTGAAACCAAAAAAAGTAGATAATTTTGTTTGCAGATTGAAGATTCTGTCTCCTCCTCCTGTCATTAAGGTTTCTTGCATGAAATGAGGTGGAGTAAATACAAGCAAAGTGTAACTTAAGCAGAAAAAATACTTTCAGACTTAAAATAAGTTCGGTTTGGGATTTTTGAGGGGCTTTTCTTATAGTTGCTATTGAGACATAATTTGTTCACTTTTGGTGGTAACATCTCTGATTTTAAGGATTTTTTTGGCCAAGTTCATGATTTCTACGCTGCCATGGAAAACTGATTTCCCTGGGTTAACACTTTCAGTAGGCTACTTTTTTTTTGGCTTTCTTTTAGACCCCTCAGCAAGCTGTAACATCACGTAGCAGGTAGCTACGTGGTAAAGCAAATTACATCCTAGAGCTAAATTGTGTTTCTTCTAGTCAAGGATTTTGTTCCTGGTCTTAAGATAAATCCATAACTGAACTATGCCTGTCTGTTTACTTTAGGAAAACTACCTCATATGAAGTACAGATTGCGAAGTAGGAAAAATTAAAATGTTTTAAGACCTTAAAAAGACAAACTCTTCTTGAAGTTTTTTGTATTTTTATTTTAAATTCTCTAAGGGAAATACCAGTGTAACGGTGTCTAATGTGTTCAGTTCCAAAGTTTGGATATATTATTTCATGAATTATAATGAATAGTACTGCCTGCAGTATAGGTTATCTGTACTTTCTGCAATACCATGTAATGATTAAAATAGCTCAGACAGTAGTGCAAGAGTGAATCGTTTTAAGGATTATAGGTTGTCTTTTTAAATAGAGTTATAGTTCCTGGCCTTCTTACAGTTGTAAAACAGTTGTGACTTTCTGATCATAAGAATTTCTTTTGATTTTGAGTATTGAAACATCAGCAGACTTTTGCCACTGAGGCTGGGTTGTATGTAAAGATTACATATGTTATTTTATAACAAAAAAACTATTAAGCAGGATTGGCTGTTGCAACTTTGATATTTTACTGTAAGATTACTGTGGATATTAAATGATATGATTTAAGAGCTTACTTTTTGCAAAAAAGCTGAAAGTCATCTGATTGGATGCTGTACTCACCATTTAGTTTGTCAGCTTCTGTCAGCTCTCTCTCCCATGAGAAGTTTAGACTAACGTAAAAATGGCCTTTTGGAGAACCTTTTTTAGCTCTCTAAAGCAGAAGAAAATGCATGCTAGGGTAGGTTCTAAAGTGGAGATTAGAAGATGGGGAAAAAAGATGGAACCTTGCATTTTTCTGGAGGAAATGGGCTACTAGATTGACTCATCTGCTCATACAATTCCCACTGTAAGGAGAGAGAAGCAGTCAGTAAAAGCACTTCATGATCTATGTTTAGGATGAGTTTTTTAAAGATATATTTTAGTGAATGACATATAATGGATCAGGATGAGGAAAATTAATGTTTTCAAGGTAGTAACTTGCGCTATCAAATTTCAGAAGCACAGAGTCAGTATTATAGACGTTAACGTTGTGTGTGTATATACAGTGCAGTGCATCCTTGGTCACATATGTCTCATCACAAATGTAAAAATGTTTGTATTTTCATATTGATTTTGGAATGGAGGGGAGAATTTTGTTTCTCAGTTTTACAGTTCACCTATAAAGAAATGGTCCCTAGAGCTCTTTCAAAAGCAGTCTGTGCTTGCATTTTTAATTGTTTTTTACAAGCTGTACTAGCAGTGTCTGAAGGATGATTTTGCAGGATGGATGGATGTATTTAAAAATCATACCTAAGTTTTACCCAAGTAGGATCAAATAACAATGGACATATATACATATCGACGTAATAAGGATGAAACTTAGTAATTTCCTCTTTTCGTAGACTTTATCCTTTGATTTTTTTTTTATCTAAGAATTTCCAACATTTATTGATGCATATGCTTAGCTTAATCTTAATTAATCTTGTTTTCTTTCTTCCCATTTAATGTAGTATTTCATTCTTTTTAAATACCAAGCTGCTACTGCTACTTGGTGCTTTTTTTATTATTTAAAGGAAAAAGAAAACAGAAGAATTGAAGTCTTGAAATAATTCAGTAAATTCAGCAATTCAATAAAAACTAAACAGCTTGCTTTCTGTTTAACAGGCATTGTTTCATGGAAAATTTATTGACACTGGTTTTTCTCTGCCTTTCTACAAACGAATGCTGAGCAAGAAACTTACTATTAAGGACCTGGAGTCTATTGATACTGAATTTTACAACTCCCTAATTTGGATAAGGTTTGTAGATTTGTTTTTGCTGGTGTTTTATAGCTTTTTTTTTTTTTTACTTGTTTACTTACTTAAAAGTTGTTAATTTTTTTCTTCCATCCTTCAGGGATAACAATATTGAAGAGTGTAACTTGGAAATGTACTTCTGTGTGGACATGGAGCTCTTGGGAAAAGTAACCTCGCATGAGCTGAAATCAGGAGGTTCAAATATCTTGGTAACTGAGGAGAACAAAGAAGAATATATTGGGTAAGAAGATGTAGATGCAGAAAAATGTTCAATATTTCTTATATGTCTCTATTCTTTTTTGGCCCAGTATGTTTTGGTTTTTTGTATGATATAATTTTTGGAGCAGTTACTGGAGTAATGTGTTAACATATGATACATATATATATATTTTTGATCTCTCTCCTCTTCCCTTCCTCTGTCCCACTCCCCCAAAAAAGACCTGGTAGGAAGATGGTGACCTGTGTTGTTATATATACAATGAGAGAGAACAAGTGAAACTGAAAATGAACAAACCGATGTTAAATAACTTCAGGGTAACAATTTCAGGTGGACAGAAGACATACATTTGGCAGTGGATTTTACAACTGTTCTGTAGGTGGCTGTCACTGTAGAAACTGAAATCCCAATTTTAGGGAATGATATATAACGTGGTGTGACTTAAACTAGTTTTTCTCCTTGTTTTATTGTGTTCTTCTTGCCTTCTTCTCTCCTAATCCTTAGCGCTGCCTTTTCTTTTCCGAACTTGTATTTCTGATACATATATTCAGAGCAATCTCAAAAGTACATGTATGTAGATCCTTTTCTGTGTTACAGTACATATCGCTGTGCTGCATATAAAGTTCTCCACTTTAAATCGTTAGCTTCTCATTGAAGGTAGATATAAACAATAGAAAATATTCCAATTTTTTTTATATTCAGAAGTGGCTTGACCATTTGAGTTGGAACTTAAAACACCATTACATCTTCCTTCCTCCAAATCTTAGCATAAATCAGATGTTCAAATAAAAAATGACTATTATTTGTTGAAATTGGAAATAATCTTATAATTGTGGAGGTATTGGGCAACCACAGTTACAAGTGTTACAACATCATTTTCTACCTACACTTATTCTGTTCCTGAGCAAAAATCTTAAAATCAGTGGAAACTTTTCTTCCACCAAAACAGTAAGATTATGCACGTTTTAAGCTAAAGCAAATTTTGCTGCGACAGAGTAATATGCCCAAGCCAGCAGCCTTTTTATTAAAAGGCTGAATTCTGATGAGTGAAAAGTTAATAAAACAGTATATTTTTGAAAGTGGAAATGTAACCTAAGTTCATCTTGATACTGTTACAATTGGTCTGAGTGTGGAGGTTTGTGATGGTATCAATATGTTAAGTCCGTTATAGTCTATGGAATCATAGCACTGTAAGAAAGTAAAATTGGAGGGAACGTTACCTCATTTTAACCCATGCACAGTAATGCACGTTTGAATTTCTTTGTGTTGACTGCTAGTTGATGTTTAATTCATGCTTGTTTTTTACCTTCCCAGGTTAATGGCAGAGTGGCGATTTTCTCGAGGAGTTAGAGAACAAACCAAAGCTTTTCTTGATGGTTTTAATGAAGTTGTTCCCCTACAGTGGCTACACTATTTTGATGAGAAGGAGCTGGAGGTGAGGTTTTTTTGTTCAGCAATTTTATGTTTAGGGAAGGGATGTATAAATGGAGTGATTAAATGGATAGCTCAGCTTGAATCTCTCATCTGTAGTGTGCTACATTTGACAGCTTGTAGAACATGAAGAGTCTAATGGGAGAAAAGGGAGTAGATCGCGACCCAAAGCCAATACCGCTATTGAATCTGTGTTGTCCAGGAGTTATGAATTTTAGATTCAATCCTCGGTTCTGGAGCGTGTTTTGTAACAGTCCATTAAAGGATCAGAATGTGAGATCACAGATAAGATTGGTTAGTTTTCTAAGACTTTTCCTGCTCTGATAGATGGTTACAATTACCTTTAGCAGATTATACACCAGAGTCAACTTCTGTGCAGTGATTGCTTAGTTTCACATGCATACTGTACTATAGGTACTTGGAGTTATTAAACTTGAGGACAGAAAGTTGTATTGAACCAACCAGGTTTGCTACTGAATTTTACAGGTCTTCAGAATGTTAACCTCAGGGCCAGTTACAAGAGTCAGTAGCGCCGTGTTTACTGAACCGTCAGTCTGACCTACGCTTTTTGCGGGGGTCGTGATTTGGGACAAGGACAGAAGGCTTGTAGTGCTAGGCTTATTTCTGTGAGGCCTGTCAATATTCCCTACATATAATGAACAGTGTCCTGAAAGCTTCATATATTAAATGGGAGTTCTCCCTGAGAAAGGACTTTGATCTAGCTTATGTAGTGCTCAGTTCTCTAGGACACTTTGCTTTTAGCACCTTCAGCTTTTGTTGCCATGCTTACGTTGCAGACTTTTACTTTTCAGTGTCTTTTATCTTAAGTAGCAGTAGCAATGTAGTTGTCATCGTCTTGGAATATGAGGTGAGGTTTTAATGGGGAAGTTGATATCTTTTATTATTGAATTATTATTTGGAAGAAACTGGAAGTTTCTGGTGTGCAGTGCCTTCAGAACACTTTAAAACACGAAGTTCTTGTCTTCTATAAGCTAAATGAGAGTCTGTAAACTAAACGAGGTAAAGAAGAGTCCAACTGTGGAATAAAATGAAAAAAATTACCCGTTCTTCGTTTGGAACAGGAACCTCTGTTTTTATTACCGTCTCTCGTATGAGATACAGAAGTAACTCTGAATATATGTGTATAGATGTGTATGTAGTCAAATAATCATTCTCTTTCTAGGTTATGCTTTGTGGTATGCAAGAGGTTGATCTAGCAGACTGGCAACGGAACACTGTTTATCGTCATTATACTAGGAATAGCAAGCAGATCATGTGGTTCTGGCAGGTATGTTGATCAGTAGAATCACAGAACAGTTAAAGTTGGAACGGACTTCTGGAGATCATCTAGGCCAACCTGCCTGCTCAAGCAGTCACCTAAAGCACGTTGCTGCTTGTCCAGATGGCCTTTAGTATCTCCACAACATCTCTGGGCAACCTGTACCAGTGCTCTGTTCCCCTCACAGTAAAGAAGTTTTTCCTTATGTTCAGCAAAAAAACAAACAAGTTGGAAATTGTTTTGTTTTCTAACACAAATAACACACCTGGAGTGAAGGAAACCAATTGAACGCGGGCCCTCGCTGCTTCCTTTCCTTCTCCTTTTCAGAAAAGGAAAGGAGTATTGCTTGTTGTCAAGGAACGCTGTAGGGTGGAAAATGGCAAGGAGATGCCTGCATCATAGTTGTCTAGCTGGGTCATAAAAATTTTTTTCTCTATCTTGTCCTTCTTACTGATTATACTACAGTAAGGTTTTTGGTATTTTTAGCAGTGATCAGCCTTCTAAATGTCCTTTTAAGTGCATGTATACATATAAAATGTCATGTATTATTTACATTTATTGTAATATAAGCTGCCACTCTAGCATTGACTGATTACTACTGATAATTATCAGTATAATATCAGTATAATATCAGTACTGATAATTATTACTGATAATTATCAGTATTACTGATAATACTAATAATGATTATTACTGAATGGAATTGTCTAAGAAATAATTTCAGAAAAATGCTATGCAAGTTTCCAGTGGCTCTGAATTTCCCTAAAGACAAGAAGTCACAGCTAGGCATTTCCTGTCTTGTGGTAAATCATAATGATTTTAGAAATGCTTTTAACAAAGTCATTAGAAAAAAAAAATGGTGCAAATCAACTACTTGAAGTTATTGCATTTTCAGAATAGTGTAAGATATAATGATCTAACCTCTCAGGGAAAAAAAAATTAAGCAGCTCCTTACGGAAAGCATGTTAACCAGAAATTCATGTAACTTGAATATAGTTTCAACATTTATAAGGCAAAAATATTCATTTTAATATCCAGACTTTTCTGAGTCAAACTTCTAACAGTATTGATGCCTCCTTTTCTTATTAAGATATCATCAGTCTTCCCTCTTCCCCCCCGCCAATAAATTTCCTTATCAAGTGATAACAGTTGTTCTGAGTGGTGGTCTCTTTCACTGAGACTGTTATGTGCAGGGAGTACTTAAGCCTTGAAATACCCAGACCGTGTGGGCAGGCTATTGCCAAGTTTAATCCTAACGGCAATTCTAATTCATGGCCATGCTTTATATTTTAGTGTTGAAAAAAATAGGTAAGCATAAAGATTTGTGTTATTTATTCAGATATTGCCAGTCTTTACTTTGCAGCTGTTCATAGTGCATAATCTGAAATCAGTGTCTTCTCCCCCACCTCCCCCTTTACCAGAATGGAGAATGATGCACTGTTCTTAAGGTGCTGTGGTTTTTTTTTTTTTTTGAATTATTTTTTTTCAAGGATATTACTGAGCTATGCCTGAGATTTTTATTAAGTAATTCCAATTTTTGTGTCTAGTTTGTAAAAGAGACGGACAACGAGGTTCGCATGCGACTTTTGCAGTTTGTCACTGGCACTTGCCGATTACCGCTGGGAGGATTTGCTGAACTTATGGGTAAGTGAAAGGTTACTGAAATGTTTATACTGTAACTGTTCCATTTGTAAATGAACCATGCTGCAGATGTACAGATACCAGGCACTTCATGTACCTCAGCTTGGTTCTAGGTCTTTTATGTCAGCAAAAGTCCCATGAATGCATTCATAAATGATTAGGAAGTGAGCGCATTTCTACAAACAGCATGTTCACGTTTATGTAATGTTGAGTAGCACGTAACGAGTCCTGTCTGCTGTATCCGAGCTGTGTCTCACGTCACATGTACTACTTAAAGGGAATGGGTGGCATTTTTTTTGTTTTTTAAATCTTTTTTTCCAGGAAGTAATGGTCCTCAGAAATTCTGCATTGAAAAAGTTGGCAAGGAAACCTGGTTACCAAGAAGTCACACCTGGTGAGTTGTTATATGTGGACTCTCTGTACCTTTAGTGGTTCTCTCTTCTGGTTTTGCATTCTAACAAATCAAATGAAATCTGATTTGAATCAGATATCTCTCTTCAGTTTCTTTCACTGCTCACCCATGCCAGTATTGAAAGCTCTACTGGCTCTCTTATTCTTATGTTTTGCTATTGCATTGTACAATGTTTGTCAGTATCAGATATATCAAAAGTATTATGGCATCCTTCTTGCATAGACCTGAGAGATGTTTTCCTAATTCTTTAACTTAAAGAATATCAAATAACTGATATTGTTAAGTCATGTTCTTGTCAGGTGTGTGTATATATAGTTATAAGATATGCTTATTATATGGTAACGTTATGAAATGTATAGTCACAAAGGAAATTAATGTTAAAGAAATCATAGCAAATATTCGGAACAAGTTCATTTCAGAACTTGCTGCCTTTTCCTTCCAGACTTCAGATTATTGACTTGGCATTCCTACTCCAAACTAATGCAACCATTACAGTGATCAATTTCCTATATACACGGCCTCTGTGGAAGAGGAACATGCCTTCATTTGGCAACCCTGTGACAGTAATATTTGTCACGTTTTTAAAACTGTTTGCTGCAGGGGGTCCTCTGTTTTACCATTTTCTCCAACTGGTGCTGGTTTTTTTAAGTGATGACTGCAAGATTTAAACATCCCTCTTTGTCTAAGATAACCTTGGGGAGGAGGGAGAATGAGACGGAACCCTGTGAGAAGCCTGTTAGGGCAAAGTCAAAGGGAGAAAAACTCTTCCTAGGCATACACAGGAAGGAGAAAACTTGCGATTCTTCATGCTTGTACCTGAATTAAATTTGTCAATTTAGGATGACATTTCATGGTGAACACTTGTGCTTCTGAATATTATATTTTTCTGTATCTTGGTTTTCTTTAGTCATCAGAGGTTCTGTTCTCTATCTAATCTGATAACAGCCTCTTTTTCCTCTAAAATGTGTTTTTAAGTGTTCACAGAAATGGAAATCAGTGGGAGCTCACTGCCTTGCTATTTTTTAATTTCTAATTGTTAGATCAGAACATTTTTAACTCCTACCATAGTAGTCGAGTTCTGTGATGTTTGACAGGGAAAGATAAAGTTACCAAGTATTTGGGTTTTTTTTTTCCTATTCAGTTTTAATCGTTTGGATTTGCCACCATATAAGAGCTATGAACAACTAAAAGAGAAGCTGCTCTTTGCCATTGAAGAAACAGAGGGATTTGGTCAAGAGTAGAAGTGGCTTCTGGTCGAAAAGGAGATCTTGCATATTAGAAGGCCCTGCCAACTGAAATTGCACACTTAATTGTATATAAGCTGTTTGTTCTGTACAGTGATCTTTCTGGAACTCTAAAAGTATAATTGTTCTCCGTTCTTCCACAAAGATATGCAAAACAGTTCAGCCTTTTCTACTTTTATTTATTGCCCTTCCAAATAACCAGAAACCCCCCTCATAAATTTTTTAAGCAGACAAAAGACTTATTTAAAATATATATTAAAAATATAAATATATATACTAACGGGCTCTAGTTTTATAGAGCTTCAAAGTGTATGAAACATTGCAGCCATTTAAAAGGGCCTGGATTTACTTTATCTTGGCTTTATTATTCAGAAAAATGTTTAAACTGCTCTATGTTCTCTCTTAAGAAACATCTCCAAGTTTGTTCTATTGCATGGCTGTTCTAAAAGGAGTGAAAGGCTTAGGCCAAACGTATCCGAAACATGTAGAAAAATGCTGCTGGTATTTGAGATGACAGAATATTCTGTCTGTTTAATTTTTTTTTTTAATACATAAATAGCTGATATATCCCTCTCTCTTCTACACTGATGTAGCCAAGGTCATTAATAAAGCCTTTATTACTTGCACAAGAGTCATGTACAATAAGATGAATGTGATTTCATGTTGAAAGCAATTGGTGCCACTGTTCTGACTTATTGTAGGAGCTGAACAGACTATTTTAATTCATTTGAGCAGCATTGAAATATGTTTACATATTACCTTGGGTTATTACCACGAGGATGTTAGGTAATCTTCAAAGAAAAAAGTAATAATAAAAGAGAAACTATTACACATTTGTTCTTTGGTCTGGTGTCTTACAGGTTTTTTTTTCCTTTTTCACTATGATGTCCTTTTTACAACTTCATCGAGTATATTAATGTAAATTGAGCTATAAGAGTATACAAAAGGTAATGTGAACTTTGCTGCTTTCTATGTTCATGTTCAGTTTCAATTACTGGATCTAGTAAACCCAAATGAAATGAAAGTTACATAAGCTTTGCACAGTTAAATGTGTTTTTATTAAGTAAATATCCCCATCCTTCTTAAGTTCTTGTAGAAATTCAGATGTACGTGAATTAAGTATGTCTAAAACCTGTCGTTCGTTTATGTAGGCCACTTTTGTCCTAAGTGCACAGTAATATAAAACGATTTTAAAATTTGTTTTATTGGTATTGAGGGCATTTGCTGAACTGCAAAGAGGTGTAACAAAACTATAAAACCTTACTCGTGAATTATATTAAATGCTACTTTTAGCAAACTGTGCTTCCTATTATAGAGTAAAAAAAATGTTTAAAATTATCATTTGTATTATGCTTTAAATATTAACTGTAAATTCATTACATTTAACTTTTACAAAACTTTGTACACACATGAAAATGATCTTAGAATGATTAAGAACACTTCTGTAACATATCATACTGCACTGTTAAAAGTGTAAATGCAGAAAAAATACTGGTATATCTGTTCTTGTATCTTTCCAAACAGCAACTGAATTCTGCCAAAATTTTATTTTTCTACATATTGGATTGTCTGAGGCTTTGTATTCCAAATGCACAGTTTACTGTGGAGCTGTTAACTTGTAAATAGCTTTGATAACAGCAGTAGTGTAACTGGCCCAACAAACTGCTATATTATGTTAACTTTCCCCAAGAGTCTCAGAAATTTCTAGCATCTGAGGGTTGTTCATACTACAGTAAATATCTTCTGTAAAACCATTTTCATACATATAACATTAAATTCATTTCAAGTGTAAATCCACCTAAATTATGACTTATGCCAGTTACAATGGAGGAAGCTTTAAAACAAACCAAAAACTCAAAAGGCTGGGCAGCAGAAGTTTGTGTGGTTTACCTGAAAAATGATTGAGAGGGCTAAATGTCATACAGTTTAACTCTATGAATTTGCACTAATGAATGACTTGGTGACCCACTACCAACTGCTGAATCTTGTGAATCTGTGAGTAAGTGAACAAAATAAAAGGAAAAAAAAAAAAGACAGCACATTGCAAAAATGTACTTGGTTTGTTTTGGTCATTTTAGCTGTCTTAAAACTGCATTAGTTTTTCCTGTGGATATGAGGAAGAAGTAACCTGTGGCTTTCTGTACATGTATATTAGAATGTGATCTATTAATTGGCTTCAAAGGACTGACCAAAAGTTTGGCCCTTAAGGAAAAAGGGAAAATTTTGTGTACTGCTCTGTTTGTTTAAGTTGGATATTCCGCAACCAGAAATTTCAGTAATACTGCATAGAAACTTTTTTTTCCTGTTCCCATCCATATTTCTCAAAGTTCAGCTGTACCTGGGAGGATGGAGGAAGAGAGGTGTGAAGAGAGGAAAGCAGTGAAGACTGGAACAGATAAAGGAACCATGAGATGATATTACTTGAGGGAGCTACTCTGTAGTTGCATATAGTTCATTCTGTTCCTTTCTTCCAGCAGCCAAGTAATCAGCTGCTGTTTTCTAAGCTCCCAAAGATCTTTACCTGGTACCTGGATAGCTTTCCTCTTTGTGCAGATGCTGTTCTTTAGGGCAGAAAAGATGCAGGCATCGCTGCAACAAGGCTACTAGAAGTGATTTTGTGAATGGCAGATGTTTTCTAAGTGAGCGAGTGTTCAAATAATCTGAGCCAACATCTCTAAACCACTGTGTCATCCATCCTTGGACTTCAGAATGTTGAATACTTCATTTTGATGTCCTTCATCAAAAATAAGAAACTTATTTTACTGCAGTGGAGAAAACCATCTTTACATGATTTGAGACTAGAATTAGAGCACTAGACTGCCTCTCAGCCGTGGATTTTTATTACGGACTTGGAATGAGCTTGGCTTGGTGACCTAGCCAGTTTATGTCCTCCGTACATCTGCATCTGTTTCCTCCCCTATAGATCACAACATGTTTCTCATTAAAACAAGCACTAGATATTTTTAGTTCATTCTACATTGCTAGACTTGCTACTGCTAATACCATGCATGCTTAAGACTGTCTAACATTTTTTTTTCATGATGAGGTCCTATTTTTCTGTTAGTTAATTGGAATATATTTTTGGAAAATCCATGAATATTCATGATGTAAACTTTCTATGCTGAATATCTAGATTAGTGGGTTTTTTGGTTTGTTTTTTAGTGGAAGTTCATGCTAAAATATTAGCAATGAAAACTTGATTTTATTTTTTACAAATGAACTCCTTAATCGGCTTCAAAACTTTAGTTCCCTGCCCTTAGGAACATGCCTTCCTGCTGAAAAAACCTGCTGTCAGAATAGTCTAGGGGAAGAAATGTGGATGTCCAGCATGGAGTGGTTTGGCCACTAAATTCTCAGAATTTATATACTCTCAAAATGCAAAACAGATGATCACACTTCACAAAAAGCTGCTTCTTGGCAACTACTGCAGTAGCAGACACAAATGGATTTGCGAGTGGTTACTGATTCACCTTTTGTGTTTGCTTGTTTTCACTTTTCTTAGCCCTTCCTGCAGTCAAACACCTTAGACAGTTCAGTGTACAGGCATTAAGGTTGCTTGTGCAGCCTTACTCAGAAGTCTGTAAGAATATCTAAAAGTGTGAATGTACACTGTAGGAAGGGCAATACTCTAGGAATCAGTTGCAGCTTTGTAGTTGAGTATTGGCCCTATACCTCCTCTCTTTAAAGTTGTTAGTCTTGTTTCTTACACCTAACAACTTACAGCTGAGCAATTTAAAACTTTAATTCAGAAAATGTGTAACCTGTGTCCCAGCCTCTTCCCCAGTTACTCAGCCATGAAGCCCTTTATTCCCATATATGCCAACAGACAGGATCATGTAATAAAACAAAGCTATGTGACGGTTCAACTGAAACTAGAGATGGGCAGAGGAAGTTTAGGCTGTATTTTTAATAAAGGAATTCTACAAACAGAAGTAGTGGGTTTTCTCCCTATGCTGGTCACATCTGAGGTACTGTATTCCCAATATCTTGCTTCTTGTTATATAGAATTAAGCAGCTCCAAAGCTTCTTTCTGTACCTAGAGGAAAAAATATAGTTATAAGAAAACAATGCCAGGTAGATAAAGGCTCTTTTAGTAGACCTTATCCTGCAAGCTCCCAGATGTTTCACAAGTCTACAAAGTAGTTACCCTCCTAAGTTAATTCCCTTTCCATAGTTTAAGATGCTCAACATGACATGAATGGAAATAAAACTTCTTAAGCTAGTGTCTTAAGTGTAATAATTCCCTTTAGTGAGTTTATTTGCATTGAGCATATATAGACAATTAGCTCTTAGTTTGTTACAGTCAAACAAAACAGCAGTGTGCCAGTTATCCTGTTTCTGGGCATAACTCACCTAGGGTTTATAGATCTAGACAGTAACTAATGGAGAAGTGTGAATGTTTCTGAGACTCCCCCTACCTAGGGGTTCTGTGTAAAACCTAAGACAATTTGAATATCCTATTGCCTCATCAGTATTAACAATAAAAAAGCTTCTAGCCCTGACAAAGCAGTGCAGACAATGTAAAACAAGCACTGCAGATAAAGGAGAGAAAAAAGTTCTGAATATCTGTTTATATGCCAAATGCAGAGACAAGAATTAACAATTTCCTTGCACAGGTAAATTTCTGTGTTACTGGACTGTGAAGTCTGGTTACCATCTTTGTGACACCAATGAATTTTGCAGTGTGACCCAGAGCATGGAGAGAGTACCACCTTGTTTTAGAAGCTATGTACCCTTCTAGGAAGTACAAGTTTGTACCAGGAGTCCAAGCGCTGCTGCTGTAGATAAGCAAGTGGTTTAACACCTTAGCTATTGCACAAAAATCACTACTGGCTTTTCGCCTGGTTTCTAAAGGAAGTAAGGCTTCTGGATGCACATGAGAAACAAGTGATCCTATCCACTCGTAACTGTTGACGGGACTGACTAATTTCATACATACCTGAGACCACTACTTGTTTAAGTTATTGAATTCCTACACATTTTCCTTCCAATTTAGTGGATGAAAGGAACCCTTACTCTTATCTCTACTTAAAGAGGTTACTGAAGGATCTCACTCTTTGTGGGAGAAACTTGAATCAGTTTGAGTCTTACAAGAGAATCCGTAAAGGAGGGAAAACTTGACTAGTGTTTTTGCTGATACCTGAAGTATCAGTACTTTGCTGAAGTACAAAAATGTTTCTTACAATTAGGACGTACAGAATGCCACAACTTATTTGGATGTCTCCTGTAGCAGTTAAAGCATGATCTCACACTGCAGCTTTACAGTAAGTAAATTAGAAGTCAACCAACCATAGGAAAAACCAATTGGAAATCAGGCTTCGTTACTCCTGATGCAACCAAAATTACTTGTTCACTGAAGATGATTACAGTTACTGTGGTTTATCGTGAACGCAGTGCAAGGTCTGAACCAGTCTAATAGTTTTCTAGCAGCACTGTATGCGTTTAGGTACAAAGCAGACACCAATCTGTCTGTCCAAACCAGGATCCTTCTCAGCAGTTCAAAAAGGTAAGCAAGTGTCTCATGGCAGTTGGCACTGGAGAGCTGCTGTCAAAGGTGTATTACCTCAATTTGTCTCAATTCAGATAGGGAGAGATTCAGCCTAGGTGCCTAGAAAGGAATGCAATGCTGGATTTTTATGGATCTAGCAAGTTTTGATACATCCATGCTCTCTTCTTGCTGCTTATGATTCCACTGAAGAGGTTTTCTTTAGCTCTTTTAAAACATGACATTTACCTTTTTAGTTTTAGGCTCAGGAAAAGTGAACCTGTGCTTATATAGACATGGGTTATCAAATCAGTCTTAACTTGAATAACACAGTTAAGGGTGGATTAGTATTAGCACTAAAAAAAAAAATCACAAAGGAGGAAGAGTAACAATTCTTTATTAACAGAAAACTTCCAACCGTTGCGTTCAGATTACACCACACAGTTTTTTGGTGTCTGGCTGTAATGCTGAAATAGCTGCTGAATTAGGCTACTCTGAAGTAATTTTATATATGTTTCACTGCCATGATGTCACACATTTGCTACAATACTTGATTGCACTGTTACAATTCTTAATGTCCTACCTGTTTGTCCTCCTCTGTATGCGCAGGATAGTCTTTGGCTTTGCTTAACCACAAGAGAGCCATCTTTTTGTTGTTTAACTTCAGGTATGTCTTTCCCAAAAAGAGCAAATTTTTGCTGTAGAAATTGGGATCAGCTGTACAGAAACAGGAAAAAAGCTCTGAACGGCAGGGAGCAGCATGCTATCAAAGTCATGATGTAGCGTTACTCCTTTACATTTACTTCAGAAAAGATTAATACCGTTTCGGATTAGGAAGCCAATGTAAAACTTTTGCTTGCTAAACTTTAGTCTCAAATATGTTAGCCACTAGTTAACAAATTAACACACTAAATGAAAGCAAGTCTGTTACAAAGGGAAGCAGTGAGCTTATGCATAACATCAACAGCTTCTCTTTTGTAAAATCTGTGCTTTTGTGGATGTAGTAGGTGCAACCGAAAATGCAGCCAGCTTAGCGAGTGTCCTTAAGAAAATAAAGGGGCATGTCTCTTAGCTTCAAATCACATACACATGTATGATACTAGCTTTTGCTACATGGAAAACAAAACACAAAAACATTGTTTGTACCTACATTTCTCTTTTTTTTAAAGGAAAAGATTACAAACTTCTATGAAATGTGAGTTTGGTTACTGACTGCTATTAAAAGACTAGTCTTGCCTACTGTTCATGCTTGTTAGAGCACAAGCTTTCTCTGCTGTTGGATAGAAGGTCAGGAGTCAAAATCCTGGTAACCAAATTACACACTTATATAATAACCAACAGTACTCAAAGGCAGGTAAATGCCTAGCGGGGTAAAAAGCAGTATTGTCAAGATGACAGAGCCTGGCAGCAGCAGTGCTGCTTGCTCCCATCTCCTAACAGATGGACCCGTGACGTGCTGTAGTCTAGAGTATGCCCTGCCTTCAATAATAAGCTCTAACTGCCTATACTTAAAGACTACTATATTAAAGACAAAGTTACTAATGTCTATACATTAGTAACTTTGCACATACAGAACGCACATATGTAAACATGAGCTATGATTCTTTCAAAACCAGTGCATGATTTGCTAGATTTTTTTTTTCAGTCACTGACTATTATTCTGTCCTTGCTGATACTTCTAATTCCAGCAAACAAGGTTCATAGCTATCAAAAAGAAGGCAGAGCTTGGCCCACTGAGGTCAGTCAAAACCCCCAGTATTTGACACTGTCTTTTTACAGGTAAATGCATGCAGGAGTTTTGGAGCCGAATTTTGAGATTAAGTCCATTTAAAAAAAAATCATTTTACAAAAGAACTACACAGATTACCTTCTTCTGCCATGTGGAAATAACGAAGAGCCTGTAAAAGATAAGGTTGTCTTCCTTAAAATGGAGCATGTGGAACATAGTAATCTACCTAAAGCCCTATGGATTCTCAATATAGCTGAAAAGGGACTTCTTGTCTTTCAGTCCATGATGTTCAGCAAACTATTGATGGTTCTCATTCAGTGTGCAATCAAAACTAAAACATTCCTAAGAGAACTACTGCTTAGTCAGTTATTCCCCAGCCAGTATTTGCACAGTTTATTATTCCTCCATAAGTACAGTACCATGTATTTGTCCCTAACAAGTTTCAGTCTTCAGCTTGTCAAGATCATTGTGAATTTTGTTTCTTCTTCCAGTTTGTTTGCAGTCCCTCCCAGCCAATTCTCATGTATAAATTTAATAGATGAAACAAAAATGTTATCACTTAGGTCACTAATGTTGACAAATACTTCATCTAGAACTGATTCCTATGGAATGCCAGTTAGTATCCTCCTATTTGAGAACAAACGTTTATGAAAAACGCATATTTTTCAGCTAGTTTTCCATAATGCACATCAGAAATTTAAGTCTATTCCCACCTCTTTCTGATGTTACTAGCTAGCGGCAAAACACTGTCAAACTTTTTTAAAAAAAGCATGGAACTATCTACACAGGAGTCTTTGTACTGAAACTGCTGGAGTTTGTTATCAATATGGCTCAGCCACACATTCTGTGACAAGTTTGCTTCTTCAGCCGCTCTACTGCAGAACGCATTGCTAGGAGTGGTTAAGATTCTGAAGTATTAAAAATCCTGGCTAACACTTCATATTTGTGTGCGACCAATTTTCAGCCAAACTTGTAAGCTTGGCGTTCTTGATACAGTTGATTTCTTTTTTTAATCAGAACTTGATTGTTTGTGGAAGGCAAGCAGCCTTCTACAGTTACTTTCTAGTGACTCTTCACCTCCACACACCTTAAAAAAGACGAAATATTGTGGGCCAAATATTTGGTTGTTCCACTAGAAAACGATGGTTACAACAGCTGCAGGAACTTTCTTCCTGCTAATTTACAGTTTGTATGTGCAAGCTGTTTAAACAACATGCATACTGTATTAGACACCCTAGAACATAGGCATCTGGACCATATGTTTTAAGTTGCCTGATAGCAGTACGTATTTAGAAATGTTTGTAGCAACAAAAAAAAAAAAAAAACTTTCAATGCAACTGAAAAAAAAGCCCCGAAAGCATAGCCAGAGGATATTCATGGGAAGTGACAAAACAAGCTATTTTATTTTTTGCATTTCACAAAAAGGAGGGGGGGAAAATCTAATACTCCTATCAAATAAGTACATGATCTAATAGCACCATATAAACCATTAGCACCAGAAGCGGTATAGAGTTATCTGTGATAGATGATATCTGTGGTAACACACCAAGTTAGATACAGCTTGTTAATCTCTGCTGCACAAACTGCATGAAATCATTTTCATGATATTCTTGTTCTGGATGTGCCATAGTGGAAAAAAAATGTTCAAGATTTTTACCTGTTTCTTAGATGTCTGTCACTGTGGTGTTATATTAATGATGATTATTGACACCTATAAACTCTCAAATCCATGCTTATTTTGTGAATTTTAAGCTATTCTGTGTCAGCAATTCACAAAATCCACGGACAGTTTCACAAAGAAAGTCCTCTACATTGTTCATCATTTTAAGAATTTCAGCAAGGTGAGCTTTGTCAGGAAAGTCAGTGAAAGTGTATCAATGGCTTGGGGGGGGAGGGGGGATAACCTGTGACAAACATTCTCATATTGTACCTCTTTATATGTGGATGTTGGAGGTGTTGCAAATAGCATTGCAGCTATTTTCCTTTGGTACCATGGCATTTCAGCAAAGGAGTAACACCTGGGCAAAAGGAAATATTTGCATATGCATTTCACATTTCTCTTGTCTTCTGGACTTACATATCTCAGATCTTAGATGCCAGATAATTTGCTATTACCAAGAACCACAACACCTGGTTGAGCAGCCATATTACAAGTTCTGTAAGCAAACTGTTACAACTATACAACACAACTGCAAGATGTCTGAAATTGCTGCCACATTCTGCTCAAGAAGTTTTTGTGTCTTTCCAGGGAACTGTTATTGCATTAGACAGAGCTGGAGACTCAGGTATTACCCATGAGACAGCCTTTTTGCTTGTAGTGTTTTAACCATTTATTGCATATTTGATATCGTTTTAAAACATTTGCAACGAATCATGTCATTGCCTGACGTCAGTATTACCTTGTTTTTTCTCATTTATTAATCTGCAAAAGCAGATTAACAGTATATTCCTGAAAGACTCTGATCTTCAGAAATAAAAGTAGATCTAAAACTACTGTGTTCTAGGTTAGTCCCTTCTAGTCAGTATTAAGTCCCCTATCTTAGAGATGCTGAAAGGATTAAATATTTGGTAAGTACTTCAAATACATAAAACATTCTGGAGTAAACGTTAAAACAACACCGTTCAGACTTTTTACTCTCGCACAGTGATTAGAAATGTCCTTCTGATTCTGCACTGTCCATAACAGCACACAAGGAGGTAAATGATTAAAGGAATACAAGTATGGTAGTTTTTGGGGGAGGGGTGGGAATACACAAACGGAATTGCAGTTCCCTCCTCCATCAGGTTTTGTTATTAGATGTACCCTAACAGGAATACCAATGCAACAAGTTCAGTCCACAACAGACTAGAAAGAGGAGAAGAAACAAAAAAGGGCAGGGGGAACAAGAATTGGCTGACACCAAATCCCAGTTTCTGATGAAGAAACCCTGGGACTCAATAATTAGTACGTTCAAATGTACGATACGGGGATGTTTCAGTGCCAAAAGCAACAATGTCTTAAGTACCTTTCCATAACATGCTTCCTGTCTCCAGACTGACCTTTAGGCTCATTGAATTGGCAGCATACATATGTCTCCAAACATGTGCATTACTGTAATGGTTAAGTCCAATGTGGGAAGGGGTGGTGGATGATTAAAAAAATAATGAAGTGAGTAACTGCACAGACTAACAAAAAAACCTGGAGTGGTAGATTGCAGTTTACTTCAGTTTTTTCAAGAATCCAGAAAAAGCCACAGAAACAGTAGCTGTGATTTCCTCCACTCCCACTCCACCTTTAAAACCAGAAGTCCTCTGGCCTCTTTATTTTCACCCTCTCAGTCTCGTATCACAGACATCCTATAAAACAACAGAAGTTTTGGCTTCTTTCTGACAGATAAAGAACAGGAAAGGCTGTATCTGGAGTCTGTCATTAATACGTAAGAAATACCAGTTTCAACCAAACTCCTTCCACAGTATGCCCCAGTTTGCATTGAAAGTTATTCTTCCAGTCCTTCACCTGCTACCTAATGAGTAGTACTCAATCTCTGATGCATGCTACGAAAATCTTAAGTCTGCAAAATGAGTTGTTATACTTCAGTACAGTAGAACTGAAACAAAGCCAAATATTGTTTCATCTTTCGCACTAAGAATTAACAGCCAGACCTTTTCAACGCATGACTTAGTGTACACTTTCAAAAGGTTTTCGTATTTGCATCACCTTAATTTATCTCAAGCATTTTTGCAATATATTCCAGATTGCTCAGCTGTTCCAGCATTCTAGCATGTTTTTTTCTTTGTCATAAGCTAACTTTTGTTTGAAAATACAACACCTTACCAAATGCCCATAAGATGAATTGATGTAGCATCTTTTGGATTCAGTTCAATGGCTTTCTAGTGAGATGGGGAAAAAAAGCAAAGATGTAAAAAGTTGGTCTGCCACATTTAGATTTAAATCTAAGTATGTGTGTGTACGTATGTATATATTTATATATGTGTATAAATATAAAATGTAGACATTTTTCCTACTGTTATCTGAGCCAGATTGTGTGCAGAACTTCAAGGAGATGTACAGTATTTATTTAGTGCACAAGTGAATCTGCCAACCTCCAAATTACCGAAAACACCAATGGATTTAACCACTTACATTTAGTAGGAGTAAGAGTTTCACATGAGACGCAGTGCGTTCACAATTTGGTATAATTTCTGGCGATATCAACTGGGTCAGTAGCTCTTTTCCTTCTCCAGTATATGTTCTTTATTGACACACAGCTACAGGTATGGCCACACATCATTTTTTCCATAGCACAGCTATACTTTATTTAGTCCTAACAGGTGTCCTGTGGCTGTGGAAGGACCTAAGAAGGACCTAAGAAGGACCTAACTTCAGCTAATTCAAGCACTCTCTTCTGTAGGAACTCAGTTCACTGCAGGAGCCAATTTGTATCCACTGTGGCCAGGGGCATCCAGGATTAACATAATAAAACATGATAACCCAAAAACCAAAGCGTTATCAGGAGATCTGAACAGAAGTACACTCGCAAATTTCCATGAAAACCAGTTCACAACTCATCATCTACGTATCAGACATTAATCCTGTTGCCAAGCAAAAATCCAAAAAACAAAACAAATTACCTTACCTGGAAATGCTCTTTGATAACAAAGGCGTTTGCAATTTTAGCCTTGATTCCTTCATAATCTCCAACATCACTGATACAAATTGCATACCACTATGATTGAAAGCACAAAAACAAAGTATTGAAAAGCACTATAATCAAATTGTAAATTCTTAACAAAAACAGAAGAACCATCAGCACCACCAACCAAACAATAGTTGCAATGAAGAGTTTAAATAGTGATAGAGCAACCTGCTAATTTCCACAGATAAAGGAATCAACGTCCTCTTATCCAAGAGGCCAGCAAAAATGACTATACCTTGTTGCCTCTTTGCTGGCCGGAGAAGAGGCACAAAGAAAAGGGGAGCGGGGGGGAGTGAGCAAGCAGAAAGAAACCAGAGCCTGAAATCTTGTCAGTGAAACTCTATAAACCTGCTACTGAGCACAGCAACAGCATGCTGGGTGTGTGAAACATCTTCCAGGGTATGTCACAGGAGCAGACTAGCTGCAGTGAAGCTAATCAGTCACCTCCTTCTGTAGTCCTGAATACATTAAACCAATTACTGTTTCCTGTGTACAGAAAACTGAGCTGCAGAAGTCCAAACTCTGATCTTAGAAACAACTTAGTGAGTGATGAAAACTCTCACTCTCTCAACTGAAAAGTTAAACTGTGTTGGAGTCTGCCGAAAGATAGAACAATGACGTTTGTTCCAGCTTCTACTGGCAGAAATCAAAGGACAACAAGATTTCAATTAAGTTTTTGCTTCACTCACCTTGTGTGCTGCAAAGTTGGATTCGTTTTTTTCAAGTGCCTTTTTTGCATACTCAAGGGCTTCATAAACCAGTTGCTTTTTTTCCTCTGTAGAAGTACTACTAAGCTGAGCTAGATCACGTGATGCCCGTGCCAGCCGCCACAACAGCTCTGCATCCTCGCTAGTCATGAACAAAAATACTAATATTTTAAAATACTAATGGCAACAAAGCAACTAAGGTCTCAAATCAATTTCTTAATACATATCTCAAGTGGATGAGAGGACAAAAGTGTATCATCTGTGATTCTATGCTGTATACAATCACAGGGTAAAAAAACCAAACAAACAATAAAAAACAGACGCAAGCCTTCCATGATAGATGGTCTGATGATACCTTCTTCATGCAACTTTGATCTGTGGAGCAAATGTATCTGTAGGAAAGGACTTTTGTTTTCTTGAAGAAGATGTAAATTTTGAAAGCTCAACAGTACCACTAGAGATACCAGAAGGGAAACAATGTCTCCTTTGCACTTAACTAGACTGTATTTTTTCCAGCATTCTGTTGATTTGACATCAATGTTTACTATAAACGTTTACCATATTACATATCTTTATCCCTATAGTTGTACCTAAACAGGGAAATTCTTCCTAGAACAAAAGTGAAAAAACAGGCCAGCCATACCACCACATGAGGCTGTACGTTTATATATTTATTTGTAGCACTAGATCACAATGATGTATGGTACTTCACAGCCAAAGACAAGGGATTTGGTACAGAGGAAGTTTTATTATTTTGTTAGCATATTGCTTTGAAACACTGCTTGCATTTTATTATTCTTTAACTTTACTACTACTTTCATTAACCACTAAAGACCTTTAATATTAAAACTGAGTTTAAAGAGCATTTCAGAAATTCTTGCTACTTGGCCACAAAATATTTTTTTCCTATAAACAGGAATTTTGAAGTCAAAACTAGCAGGAACTAAAAATATTAAAACCCATATCTGATCTCAAAACTAGTTACTGTAAGCTCAGAATATCAATAAAAGACAGTTTTCCTATCTGGAGTCAAACTGACTTGCTACTCGCAGGACAGCAGTTCTGCCCTTGTTAATGGAATACACAGAATTAGCAGACTCATTTTTCAGATGAGTCACAAAAACGTTAAGTACAGTTACTGGGATCATTAGTCCCTATAGAATAAGTAGTACTGCTATGACATTATGTCCTTTACAGATCGACACCCTCCTTTTGTTTTCTAGGCTTTATACATTTTTCTGCCAAGAATGAAAAACTTGAACTGAAAACAACTAGCTGCCAATTTCCTCCAGAATTTCCTCCAGTTCCTCTAGGATGCATGAGATGTCCTGTCTGCTACAAAGGAACGGATTCTAAAAGAAGCTTTCCATGCATTTTCTGCCTTTTCCTTTACGCATCAGTAATGTTTTGTGCAGCTATGACATAACCCCACAAACGAGCTTTTTGTATTCAGGCACAAATCCTAACAGGAAACAAGTGAAAACAGAAGGTGAAAACAGGTGTTCAGCAATGAAGAAATACAGTGATTTTCAACACCTGAATTCCAGATACTTTCATTATTTAGTGACGTGTAGTTAAAATTCAGATTTTTTTCCATTATATTTTAAGGTATTATTAAAATAACAAAGCAAGTAAGCAGCCCCCCCCTCCCCCTCCCCCAGCAATGAAAAATAAATGTTAACCCTCAGCTTCTACAGCTGCACTCAGCTAACAACCAGGTCCCCTTTGTGCACTTTTCCCTCAGCAGAAAAAAGATCAAGGGTCCTTTTTTCCTACTTCTGTAAAGATGAAAGCAAGATTCTGCAGCATAATACAATTCAAATATCAGTTGAAATACTGATATAGAAGAGCACACCAAAGTCAAAATAATGTGAGGATATTCAATGCAACCAAATACCTATTTTTATGTTGAACCAGCAACCGATAGAGTTTTTCAGTTTCTCCACTCCCATACAGGTAATCTGCTTGCTCTATAACTTCTTCTACTTAAGAAGAAATGAGAATCATGGAAACATGAGAACAAATTACATGTAAATAGTATATTACAGCAGAAACAAAACATTAAGAGTGAGACATTCTAGCTGAAACACAAAGAACAAATGAACTAGTTCCTTTTTAGGCCATCATTCCTAAAGATTAAATCAAACAGCTTTCATGCAAGGCAGAACTGGGTAAGTTACAACAGGTAAGAGATACAGTACTGGGTAGCTCTGCTCTCTTCTGGAACTATGAAACAGCCTTTGGCAACAGACAGCTTTGGAAGCTTAATGGATTTACCCTAAGTGTCTTTCTCAAAGCATCAGATACTAGAAGCCATTTTTCTTCTTAGTGAATGGATGAAAAGCAAAAGAAATAGTAAGAAAAAAACGTTCAGGAAGGTAAGCGCAATAGACTGCGAGGAGTGAGACTGCCTCATTAGTATATGTATAGAATTTACGGATAGCAAAAAACCAAACAGAACAAAATAAACCCAAAAGGTTTTGTTAAAAAGAGATTAAAAGATACTCAACAACCCAAAAAAAGAGTTTTGTTGAAATATTCTTGATTCTCAGTATGATTCCATAATTTGGCTAAAATAGTACTGCAGACAGGCCCTTACCTTATTCAATAAACCAATATTAAACACTATTTGAAGTTCTGCTGATTGAAGCACTTCAGATTTTCATAAATACATGACTCCAAAAATACAGTATTCTGCAAAAACATTTATTTTTCAAAGTGCTAAAATCAAAAATACACAAAATAGGACCTGAAAAACTGAAGCTGGCTTTCTAGAGTATTAATGACATGAAGTATACATTGCTCTTAGGATATTTTAATTCTTTCTCTCAATTGGCTGAATATAATAGTATACAAATATCTGTCTCCCCCTCTCTCTCGGCCCCCCCAAAAATGTTCTACAAGCAGAAATATCAACGAACATGCAGTACAGGAGTCTAATACGGCATTACATGGGAGGAGGAGAAAAGAAATACCCAAACGGAAGCAGGTAGGTAATGCCATTAAGTATATAACTTTCTAGGAGAAGGATCTTCCAGTTTATTAAATGTAACTTTTTAATGCTTTAGTGTTGGCAGAAAAGTATTTTAATAAGAGCCTTGTTTAGTTTCTTTTAGACTTTTCAGTTACATTTATCACTATGCTTATCATTTCCTGGGTATTACTCCTTCATCTGGGATTAAATTGCTGAGTCAAACATACATTTTCTTTGTAGAAATTATTATTTTTTTAAGTTATTACTGAATATCGTGGTCAAGTTTCATTGCAGCGCAGCTTTATTTACAGAAGAAAAATCCACCAAAGGCTGCTAAATACAAAACCGTCATCTCCAGATAAAAAGCTTTACAAATCACAGCTGTACAAGAAGTAAAAATCACTGAAGAGAGCATTCTGGGTCATTTTTTACCCTGTCAGCTCTAAACATCTTTTGTCAACCACTTCAAAGATAAGATAATGGTCTATCTTGACTTTGGCACAGCCATTATAACAATGGATTCAAGGAAGTAAAGATGCGGACTTAAATATTTAAGTTTTTAAGATTAGCTCCAGGGTTTTACCTTTACTGAACTGTTTCATTTGCTCAGGATGCACTGAATACTAACATATCTAATGAAATGTATCTAATACACAGGAAGTTCTGTCTGAACATAAGGAATAACTTTTTTATTGTGAGGGTGACTGAGCACTGTAACAGGTTGCCCAGAGAGGTTGTGGAGTCTACATTCTTGGAGATACTCCAAAGCTGTCTGGGCATGGTCCTGGGCAACCTGCTCTAGGAGATCTTGCTTGAGCAGTTAGGTTGGACTAGAAGATCTCCAGAGGCTCCTTCCAACTTCAACCACTCTGTGAAGGCTCAGGTATTTTACCGAAATTATTAGGCATTTATTTCCTCAAGAGTATTTTTGAAGTACTTCTTTTTTTCTTTTACTTTCACCATATCTTGTCTTGCATGGAAAGCACAGTAATACCACTGTTCTTGGTACTGTAAATGTCAGAGGCATGTGTGAATTAAAGCACCAGAAGGCACAGCCAACTTAATAACGTTATTTACGTTTCTCATGTTCAAACTAAATTTTCCTATTTGTATATTTAGTGGCCATCTTAAATCTGTTCACTAAAGCTCCTTCTTTATGGCAAATGAAGCAGCTTGATATCCTTTCAAAAGTCAACTGTCTACATTTTTATTTCTAAAAGCCTAAGTGATCTAGGACACTCCTTTCTTTACAACTTACACAAAGAGATTGTCAGAACTGACTACTATCTGTAGCGTATGTGTTTTGGTTAGGCTCCGTTTGCTGTAACAACTTTCATTTACCCTGCGATAGGCAAGTTTTAAGAAACTTAAGTCTGTGACAATATCTCTTTAAGATAACTTTTTTTTCTTCGAATAGAGAGACTATCTTTATGCAGATCTTGAAAAGAACATGTTACCACTTGCTCTATTCTTTTTCTAGTAGGTAAAGCAAGGCTTGTGCTCCTCTTTCTTTAGCGTGACGACAAAAAACAAGTTATTTCTCATTTTTCCCCCTTTTTTGAAACATGATCATGCTGCTCAACCACACTAAATGGGAACTCCACTGTGTTCATATTAAAAATCTGAATTAAGTAAGGAGTTTGGACTGCACTTCCAACTGAACTGTATCGTTCTCAAGAAGAGTTATTTAAAGTGTAGGCCGCAAAATGGCTGTCATAGTCCTTGCGGACATGGTGGACCAGTTTTCAGTGACGTTTAAAAGAACTGCTTATTAAACCACTACTAAACTTTAAAACCTCAGCCTAATTCAAAAACATCCTACCATGGAAACACAGTGAACACAGTGGAGATACTCAAAAGCATTACGCAGTTTTCCTATACAATCCTGGCACTAAAAGTGACAAGTTTTGCCTTGCGATCTGCACGCTTCAGAATTTGAAATATTACCTTTGAAGCTTGCATGAACCTCAGCAGAGCGAGAAATCAGCCTGTAAGTTTCATAAACCAGAAAGGACCCTGTTGACAGCAAAACCCCCCTCGTAAAGCCTTTTCCAAGCGCCTACAAGGGATTATAAAGTGTGTATTAATAAACTTTGTTAATAAGAAAATGTTTTTCTGGTTTCCCAAGCTCTGGTTTGTAGAAAATTACAGTTATATTTCCGATCTCAAACACAGAAAGGTCTTTTATAAACTAAAAAAAAAAAAAAACCAAGAAAAAGATCCCACAACATCAACAGCAATATTTCTTTCCAAGCCTTCCACGACGATAGTTATGCTTTAAAATATAAACTGAGCACTCCACTGAAACTAAATAAATAAAAAAGCAGTAAACACACGGTAGGAAACAAAAAAAAACCGAACTTGTATTTTTCAAGAGACCACAAGGATCCTCGATTTTGAAACAGTAAGTCTCAAACAGTAGGTCTTTCTTCTACCGACAGGCAGAATTTGTGCCATCGGCGGAGCCTGACTCCCGTACTCGCCGTTCCCG